ATTGATTTTGAGTCGTGTGTACGTGTCATAAATTAAGCTGATTTTGTGATGTAAGTTATTAAAATGTTAATAAAGTTGGTTCTGAAGAATGTGTCCACAATTTCTTCATTTTGTTGTATTTATTTTCATTGTTTGGACTCATATTTGCAATTTACAACGTAACTTAAGATAGATTTCAATTTGAAATTACTTAGTCTCAATTTTAAGATGATAGGTTTCATTATGAATGTGTTTAGTCTCAATTCGATTGTGTTTATTCCCAATTTGAAATTGTTTGATCTCAATTTCAGGTTGTAAAGGTGAAAGGTTGTAAAGGTCAGGTTGTGAATGTGCTGCACATAGGATATATATCGCATATGGGATATATATATCGCATAATATGTATTGCTGTCAGATGGATTACCTGAAGAACGGTTTTTTAACATTTTTGCAACTGGAAAATCATGATGGAAAACAAATTGCTACTCAGGTTTTGAATTATTTATGTGAACATTGTAACATTGATTATTCCAGGTACAGAAGACACTCGCACATTGATGCGGCAAATATGTCCCATGGTTATTAAGAGATGCAAAGTGTTAGTTTAGAAAAAACCCGTATGCGATATATATCCCACTAGCACTAAAACATTTTACCGTCATTTATATAAATATCCCGTACGCATGTAAGCCCACTCAGCAATGCCCACAAACCAGCCATGCCCATTTCACAATATTTAAAATTTCTGCCGAGGGGTACGTCATGCAACGCTTTTTTCGTTCTTACGAAAACTGATGACAGTTGTTATTTTCTTTTTGTGATCTTGTACAAACTACACGGTAAAATATTTTCATGCCAATTCTGTTCTATTTAGAAAGTTTTAATCCACGTTTATAAATTTCCCCACCATATAATTTTGTGTAGAAGTGTTTCAAATTTAATTATTTACGGTTGGATGAGATCCTTTTCCTTACTTTGCGTGTTAAAACGTAGTAGTGGTAGAAGTTTTCAAATGGGATTATCTTTTCAACTACATGATAAAATTGTTCCATATTTTGAGAAATCATCTAATCTTTTGATAAATTTCAGTTGCAACGTTTAATCATATTTTTGACATAACGTGACAACCTCCTTAACATTCCTGTTGGCAATGAAAATATTTTAAGGGAACTTTCGGATTTGCGTTGGGAAGCGAGCGCTGTTTGCATGGGAGCAATACTTGATCCACATTCGCAAATTCGTAACACGTTAGGTTTTATTTCCCACGATGATGATAAAAAAGGAGATACTGAGCGAGAGCTGAGACATCAAATATCGCTACAAAACACAAGAATTTGGGTTCGTTTGTATGCTAAAAATGTGGAATGACATTTTGCATCTATCCCACGTTGATCAACTGTGCGTCATAATATGATATCTTTTTATTAGATATAGTATCTTATTACGACGCACAGTTCATCAACTTGGGATACATTAGGTGTTGAATCGACGGCTTAACTAAAATATCCAAAAACTCTTATTTCATTCAAAATCGTGGAGTGGACTTGCTTTCTTACTAGTTCAATAAACTCTTAGAATATAGTTTTTGACAAATATGACGAACTTCCTGTAAAAAATGTGAAAAATTGCTTAGTACTGTAAAAGTATTGTGATATTAGAAGATTGTTTAGTTCAGAAACATGATAGACGCGCGTCACGCGTCTTGCATGCGAGTGGACATGGGAGTGCTCGGTGCGGACAGACAGCAAGCGAATTCGTGCCCCACGCGCCAAGTGCGAACACGGCCAGCCATTGGTTACGCTCGCTCCAGGGCCTCGTCTCGGAATAGGCGCGAAGCGAGGCAGCGTGCGGGCGTGCCTCCCTCGAGAGGCGCAAAGCGCGCAGGCCGAGGCTGCAGATCGCACGGCGCTAATAAGCTACTAGAAAACGCTTCAAATGGAAACATGGCTCGCCCACCGATAATGAAATGCTCATTATATGTTTTCAGGTGAATAATACATGATATTAAAATTGTTAGTCATTTAATTTTTTATTATTATGAAATGTATTAAACTACTACATTTTCGTCCGGGTAGGCAGTGTCTACCTTGCCTACCTAAAGGAGCCGCCACTGTGAATCACAGTGTCTCTGTTCGGAAGGACCTAGGGCTCCAGTTTTGACAATGACAGGATTTTCGACACTAGCTAGATCGGGGGATGTCCAACTTCTAAGGTCTCAAGGGCCAAAACTAACATCTTTAATAAGGTTGCGGGACAAATTTTCATTACTTGCACGATTCACATCTGACTTTCCTGAATTGTTGGCACTGTACCCGGCTGCATGGAAACGGGGGGGGGGGATATGAAACCATGCGTGCTATCAGGCCTGACCATAACGCAATAAAACATAGGGATGATCGTGAATTCCTGAATTTACTAAAAAAAACTAAATCTAAACTTGACCTATTTTTACATTACGGGGGTGTTGACCCCGACAGGGCGCGTGCGCCAGGCGCAATGTTCTCGCCCGGCATGGATGCAAGGGCTTTCACTTTCGATAATAACAACCTTTCGAGGGCCACAATAAACGGCACCGCGGGCCGCCACTTGGACAGCCCTGAGCTAGGTGGCTAGGTCGAATTCAGTCGCTGTCCGGAGAATTGTAGTGACTACTAGGCGTTCCGGGCGCCCGGTCGGGCACTTAAAGCCATTTCCGACAGAGGTCGACGCCGAATCTATTTTTTACCACTCATGGTAACCTTAATAATTTAAACTTATACACTGAATCGTTTCGTAGTGGTTGCCATGCCTGGCCACCTAGCGGACACCTCCCTTCCCCACCTTTCCGCAGGGTGCCTTGGTTTACCTCTGCCTACCGCCATAGGATCAAAGTGAATTTACGAGCCAATTTAAATAAATAATATTCTACGAAAAATACTAATAATAAAATAAATTAAAACTGACAAGCATAATATAATATTAAATGCGATTTTAATGTACAACGATGCATTTACTAGACACATTGCCAATGTTAATACTTGGTTTGTAAACTTCTGTGTGATTAGTCAAGAATGTTAATAATAATAGTAATAATAGTAATAATAATGAGATCTGTATCGTAATGAGCAGGGAGCGGATTTTTATGCCCTAAAACACCATTAAATATTCTTTAAAAAATATACATTTATGACCTAAAAAATCCGAACTGTGCCCTCTAACATTGAATAAAAACTAAAAAATTTTTCCCTGTATAAACCTTGTTGATAAAATTCAAGATAACCAGACTTTGACTGAAAAAAAAAGTTTTTATGCAAACATAATACGATCTAATTTACTTCGAGAGAGAATTAATTAAAGTGAGTATTCACCTTAGTGAAGTACATTGTATATCTTGGTACATTACTGCTACCTGGTTTAAAAAATATATCAAGACATATCCTACATTTCCACAAGTATTTTATCATCGATAGAAAAGAAAAAACGCGAACTTGACAAGGTCATTTTAATCAATGAATACTCACAAATAAATACATGTTTTGATGTTTTAAAGATAAGTCTACATTTTAACGAAATATGCAAAATATGCGACAATAATTACAGGAATATATATCAACAGGAAAAATCGGCCAAATATGCACAAATATGAAGTAAAATGTTAGGCATTCTATTTCAACCAAATGTCTAAATTTCACTACGCTATACCCTGAAGCAACGACCAGAAATTTTCAAAATTATAGAAATCCTCTCCCTCGTAACAAGTATTATTATGCAACTGATTGCAGCCGTCAAATGCCAGAATCATACAAAGGGTGGAGAGAATAGAGTTGCGTTGTGCCCGCAGACAGGGGCTCTAGCCAGTGATTGAACGATCGGGCCGGCAATGCAGGCGTCCAAGAGGGCCCGCTACAATCTGTTCGAATTTTTTTATGTAGTAATCATAAACTAATAAATATGAATTGATTAAAGGGTATTTTTATCATCTAAGATTTTAAACCTGCTTGTGTTAGCTTTACACATTAATAAAGACGGCCCGGATAGATGTTTTGCGGGAGAGGCCACACCCATTTCGTTACGCAACTGATTTCGTCATTATTTCCACTGCCGGTCAGCTTCGCCGATTTACATATTAACTACACATGAAACAAATTGCAATCATTCGACTTGCTGGGGGTCCTGTACCCCCTATCCCCCACATGATCGACTTTCTCTGGGTCCTGTACTTGATCTACTTGCTCTGGGATCCTCTACTTGACGGACTTGCTCGCGGATCCCCCACTTGCTCGAATTTCTTGAACATCCTCCATTTGATGTACTTGCTCGAGGATCCCCCACTTGCTCGACTTTCTCGGGCATCCTCCATTTGATGTACTTGCTCGAGGATCCCCCACTTGATCGACTTTCTCGGGCATCCTCCATTTGATGGACTTGCTCAGAGATCTTCGAATTAAGAATACGAATTATTTCGACGTTTATCGTGTGGTAGAAACACAGTCTACTAATAGCGGCCGGTGTATCATAGGTACAAATAACCATGTCCCCTGCGCTAGTTTGTTGCGCGAACGAGTGGTCGATGCCGGGTAAAATCTACTACACGTAAGTATTGTGTAGAAAAAATATGGATTGATTATATCTTCAAACGAGGAAATACTAGTACGTTCATTTTCTGAAAACACTTTTAGCAATTTAGTGGCAGAAACAGTGGTGTAACTAGGGGGCTCGTAATGCGGGCGTGCCCGAGTAAACGAGGGCCTTTTTTAGAGGATACTAAAACTACTTGTGTGTTCTATACACTTTCATAAAGTGGCCCGTATAACAGTTTTGCGTGCGGGCCAACACTCATTTTGTTACTAGCTCTTGCGCATCGTATTCGACTTGCCAATGATGTTAGTAAGACACCAGTTTGTGTTCAAAGCCAGGTACCAAAATTATCACCTCGTTACAAGACAATAAACCAGATTTGAGACGCATTTGGTTCACATATTGCGTCCTGTACACCTTCATCCTGTTGTTTTTGGCCGGTTACCGTGAAAAAGTGTTTACAAATGTTTGTGGCTGGTGTGGCTGTAACGCAGGCGCTGGGGAACCACGAGTTCGACCGCAAGCTGGCCGGCGCCGTGCCCTTCATCGAGGCCCTACGCGCGCCCGTCATCGCCGCCAACATGGACGCTGCCAAGGAGCCCTCCATGCAGGGCCTCTTCCACAAGTCGGTGGTGGTGGAGCGTGGAGGGCGCAAGGTTGGCCTCATCGGCACCATCGCCTCCAACACCAAGGTGAGACTGCTTGGGATGAAACAAAGAAAGTAGCGGTAATTCACGCAAGAGCGAGTTTGTCACCAACTCGCCGCGAAAGAAACGTAATGCGTAAAGTTAAGGAATATAAATTAAATATCAGATAACTATAAATACTTTACTTGTAGGAAAGTAAATGCACACGCCAGCCATTTCTTGCTCAATTGGCTCTCGGACAACATGAGCTGGAGTAGGACTTTTGGTCTCCGAACAGCCCTGTCTGGAATCCCATCGATTATTTCGCTAGGAGCGTTATACAGAGCGTCCTAACATTGCGTCGCCAAAGGACGTACTGAGGCATCGTCTGTCCATTTGGAGAAGATTTTGGAAAAGGTGTGTGCACGTTTTAGGCCGACAATACAAGTGATCGAACAAAATGGCGGTTATACTGAATGATGTTATGAGGGAGATGCCTCAATATGAAGCTATTATGTGTAATTGCCTAATTCTATAAAAAAATTAATCATTGTAAAAATTGACATGGTTTTGTATCGATTCTACTGAAACACCCTGCATATGCTAAGTAAGTCGCAAGTATAAGCTAAGTAAAATGCGCCGTAATTTATTATTACGGAACCAATTTGGAAATCTGAGATGGTACTAATTACGGATTCATTATTGCACAGATTATTCCAATCATCCGCAAAGAGAACTGTTCTTCCGTTTCGAATAGTCTGCCTAAAATCGATACCTGCGGAACTTCAATTGACAATCGGAAAGGTGTTTACATAATGTTCCATCATTTAAGTAAGGTATTTTTGTTCCCTGAGATCGTTGTTTAAGATACGAACTTAACCAATCGAGGGCAATATCAATGATTCCATACGAAGGGAATTTTGAACGTAAGTGTTTAGATCAATATCGTCAAAAGCTTTTGGAATATCTAGAAATATTCCAATTGGTGCTTCGTTTTGAACCATGGATGAGGTGACATCTTTAAGAAAAGAGTCTGTGGCAGTTTCCGTAGATTTTGATTTTCGAAATCCATGTTGGCAATCTGAAAACGCGTCGTGTTTACTGAGAAACGATTCCATTCGTACGTAAAAAAGACACTCTAATATTTTCGAAAAATTGACAAAAGAGAAATTAGTCGATAACTTTGAATTTCCGATTTGTTGCCTTTTTTTGAAGAGCGACTTAATCTTAAGTTATTTTGAAAAATCTGGAAAAGTTCCGGTGTATAAGAATGCATAAAGTTAAAATTATGTATAATGCTTGTAAATAATGCATTAAGGAAGCTTATTACAACACATAGATTTGTACAGTTTTCACGTCGTATAATTGAAACAAAATAAAGCATGGACCACCACCAATACACCAATATGTACAGTACTAAATTCCGTAGTGAAACAGGGATATTGTGGTTTAATTATTATTAAATAAAGATCGTGGAGGTATCAAGTGCAAAGTATATTACAATATTAATTTAATATAAAGAATAAACAGCCACACACGTATTCCAAGATTAATTTATCCCGTTTTCAGTGGCTGCAAGTATCATGTATTAAACACGCAGGACTTAAGTTGCAGCAATCGCGTATGTTCTGCAGAATTCTGTTTCACATTCATGATTGAGCGGACTAAGGTCTTACGTGTTTAAATCCATGATACTTCGAGGCACTGCAGATTGGGGCCTATTAGCTTCGAAACATGTGTATGGCGATTTATTCTTTATATTAAATTTATATTGTAATATACTTGTGGTTGATACCTCATCGATCCTTTATTAATAAGAGACACACAACAAAAAAACTTATCAGACCCAAAGGCGATACATGTTTCTCTATGTATGTCGAGTCGCTGAATTCTAATCTGAAGTCAGAATTGCACCACCACCCTCTATTTTTTTAAATAGCGAAAATTCATCGTCAGTTTTTTTCAGTATTAAAAATACTGGATGGCGATGGCGCGATTTGGGCTTCAATTCCGGATTCAGCGCGACGACTTGCATGCGAAACGATTTCGTGTTGGCAGGACATCAGCTCCCCGGAGCAGCTGGAGTTCGCGGCGGAGGCGCCGGCGGTGGCGGAGGAGGCCTGGCGGCTGAGGGCGGCCGGCGTCGACATCGTCGTGGTGGTGTCGCACTCGGGCATCGAGGTGGACCTGCAGGTGGCCGCCGAGGACCCCAACGTGGACCTGATCGTGGGCGGCCACTCGCACACGCTGCTCTACACGGGCACGCCCCCCGACGGCGGCGCCGCCTACGACGTCTACCCCATCGTCGTGACGCAGGCCTCGGGCCGCAAGGTCAGACGGCTTCCACCCGCCACCCAGCAAGGCGGCATTCACACAGCCAACTTAGACGAAAGGGACTGCCCTAGGCTGAGCAGTAGCTCGCGAAAACAAAAGCCTTTCGCCTCAGCCAATCAGATTTCAACGTTTGGAAGCTTGCTCAATTGTGGAGTCATTTCTAGCATAGTGGAAATATTTTTTCACCAGGGTTTCTAACTTTTTCGTCGATTTTTCTATTAATTTGTCTTAATATATAAATGTGAGTAAATGTTGTATTTCTGTTAGCACTTTTATTTTGTAAACTAGGATTCTTTTGTAACAGATTCACAAGTTATTCGTCGAACGCAATTATCTTATTCGCGACGTCAAGTTAGTTACAAGAAAAGCGGCCTAAATTCTTATTCCAAATTCACTACTCGCATCAAAATCACTATGCAAAGTAGTTCAGAACACAACAGAAATGAAATGACATAACTACAAACTACCTCAACACAATCTGAAATCCACCATGTTTGTTTTTCATGCTGCTCTCTGATTGGTCGTCAGTAGAATTCCGACGTGAACTTAACGTAAAAGCTTGGTACTTGTGAACTCTCAAGTTCACGGATTTACGTTTACTGTTACGTCAAGGCGTTGCGAATGGTCTCGCTTAATAACTCATTCCTAGGTTTTCGGCTACGTCATGTTTGAGTTCAAGATGGCAGTGAATGAGACCTTAGGCTTCGCTTTTTATTACTTGACTACCGGTCTTCTTGACTGACTGACGAAAGACTGCCGGTCTTCACGATGTAATATCTCACGGCATTTCGCGTCTTTGTCGGTAGTGCCGCTAGATGTCGCATGATCGCCAGTACTGCTCGATATGGTCGCGATCATGCGACATCTAACTTAACGACCGAAAAAGACGCGAAATGCCCTGATATATTCCATCGTGAAGACAGGCAGTCATTGGGCAAGTTATAAAAACCCAAGAACGGGCTTCGTCCATCCTTTCACTTATTTTCTTTCTCCATTCGTTCATTCGCCCATTTATTCATTCAAGATTTCATTAATATTTCTTCCTTACTTCATTCGTATTATGCTACTGATTTGTTCATTCGCTATATTGATACTGAATTGCTTCATTTCGCTATATGTACTGAATTGTTCATTTCGCTATATGATTACTGAATTGTTCATTCGCTATATGCCTACTGAATTGTTCATTCGTACTTGATTACTGAATTGTTCATTCGTATATGTACTGAATTGTTCATTCGTATGTGTGTACTGAATTGTTCATTCGTATGTGTACTGAATTGTCCATTGGTATGTGTACTGAATTGTTCATTCGTATGTGTACTGAATTGTCCATTTGTATGTGTACTGAATTGTCCATTTGTATGTGTACTGAATTGTCCATTGGTATGTGTACTGAATTGTCCATTGGTATGTGTA